CCTTGCATTGTGGTCGTGTATCTGAATTTACGCTTCGCAATTTTAAGTTTGACTTTTTGAATCTCCGTCTAAATTGTTGGCATACTTGACAACAACAAACAACGAATTCTACATCGTCGACAACACTTCTCCTCCCCATATACATGTACTAAATCTCGAGACAGCGGCATTATTCGTGCGCGTGTGGTCATTTGCTTTTATTCATGGGTGTGTCTGCTAAGATCGACATTTGACGAATTACAACTGGCCATGGTTCATTGTTCCTACTAGGCAGTATATATGGACATGGTCACTAATTTAGACTGTAGATTTTGATTTGTGGTGCAGCGCAGCCCAAACGTGAGCTATTCTCTGAGTCGGCGAAGCCTAGTTCCAAATTATGGAGTACACTGAGTACCATTTGTATACCATATCACTGTGCATCACGCCCATTGCCACGGTGCGTGCCATGCGTCCCTGAGCTCGCTCTCGTATTTCATACTCTTATTCTGACTTCAAGCATGCGCGGGATTTCAGTGCCAGTAGCCCGCTCAGGCACAACCGTCGATCCTTTGTTCGCCGTGTAAATGTAAAGAGTCCTTATCGGAGAACTGGTCCATAACTGGATGCAGTGTGCCACTTAGCATGATAGTAAACGCATATAAAGGCTTGAACAATGGACGCCTTTCGTGAACCGCCTCTTGCTGTCGAAACATCCATCATGTTCAATGCCAAAACTGAAGCATCGCCTACTGCCGATTCTCAAAAGCAGATGACAATGCGCCAGCTTGTTCTCGTCGCCTTCTTCGGGATCTTGAAGGAGCTCGATGAACCAGGGTGAGTATTCATCGCCACTTCGAAGATTGAAGCCATGATCTGATGTTGTGCTTTCCTCTGAAGCAATTCGGACGACCCGTCAAATGTGACGAATATCATGCGCGATACCTGGTTATCTTTATCTGGCTGGAGTAGATATTACGTCCTAGAGACAGCGAGACCATCTTTGATACAGCGAATGGGATGGGATGCGCTCCCTCTTGACGAAGTTTGCCCGTTTGAACTGGATGAAATTCTGGGGTCTTTCTCTTCTTTGTGGCGGAGGGCTCGCAAATGTTTGATGACACAAATGGTAAGTCCAATGTCATTTTTGCGCTCATAACCTCATCTTGAATGTGCGATGTTAGACGGCAGAAGCTGAAAATCCTCAGTATGATTATCCATCAGCCTTCAAAAGGCCTACACATGTGTCAGACCTGCAGGAAAAATGCACTAGAGAAAAAGAGAGGATAGTCATGGGGACATCATATGACATCCTAAAGGCTTTTTTTGACGAGTGAGTCTTCACATGTACATTATCCCGGCTGCTCTCAACAACTACGCTCTTTAGCCCATCTAAAAGTGAACAGGATTCAAACATGTATACTCTGTGGAAGCAATATTCTGCAGAAGAAAGATGCGCCATCTTGCAGGAGGCGCAAAGATGCTCAACACGCAGCTGGAGTCCAGGCTTTTCGTATTCGTCTACCAATGATAGCTTGGAAATAGAACACGGGAACATGTGGGTTTTACGTGTTGATCTCACTGAGAGAATCTCCAAGAACATTGTGAGCTCTGTTTCCATTCGTTTCTCCTGGGTTTTGAGTTGATATTTTTTTCCCTTTATACAGAACAATTATCCTTATATATACAATAGTAATAGAGGTTGTCCTGCGATTTTGCGCAATAGATTATATGAAGGTCGTCACGGCCATTATTCCAATGGATCGTACAGTAGCATGACTCCCGGAGGTGTTGATGGCATGTTGATGTAAACCTGAATATTTCAATAAAATTCTCATTTGCCTGATTTGAAAATCGCAAAGACGACCAAATTATATATTATTATTAGTAACTTCATCCACTGGATTGGACTAATTGAGGTTTTCGGCGCATTCCAAAAGTCTACATATATATTTCACTTGTATGCAAAGTCTAGAAGAATACATGAACCTTTTGAGAATACTACGAGGCGGTTGGAGCTTTCGTCGAAGACCGGTACCAGATCACAAATATACGTGCTAAACGGCCTACTCGGACTCCCTACAGCAGAAGGAAGATGATCTTTTGGAAACAAATCCGTATCATTATCCCACAAGAAACCCACTGTTGTAAGGATCGTCCGGCCATCTTTTTCCTCGTATAAAAGTAGCTTATTCATACCGATATCAGCGATGGTGAACTTCGAAACGTTCACGTCGGATATTTGCTGATACCATGGGTCCTTGCTTTTGTCATGCGGAACGGTAAGCCCGAATACGATACCGTCCAATACGACGGACAATCGAGATACTTGCGAATCGCGCCATGGATCCGAGTAGGCCGAAATTGACGAAAAAGAAAAATTTGCGGACATCCAGTACGGCTGAAGAGCCCAAGGTTCGTCGTAACGGTCAATAGGCGTAGGACGGATATTACTGAGGTCATAGACCGAGATACAATGTGTGAAGGTTACGGCCTTTCCACTAGGAAGAAGCACTAGATCACAGTCCTAAGCACGTATTGGAAAGTGGATGTCAGCGAAAAAGTCAAGATACATAGCGTGTAGTGGGAATACATACTGAAATGTCGGAATCAGACAATGTAACATCAACATCGATACGTGCTTTGAAATGGAAGAGAGTATCCGATAGCACCCAGTTCCACACTTCAAACGATAATACATTCGGGTCATCGTCATCTTCCTCACCCTGTTCCAAACACTGGACAAAATAGTCTCCCCGCAAGGTGATATCATAGACTGGTTCTATAAATTGCGGATAGCGGAGGTACTTGACCTTCTTGGCTTCCAGGGTAGCATTTTCACCTCGCCCCTTCGCAATCAAGCGGTAGATATGGATGCCTTCTCCTGGCCAATCTCCATCGACTGACATGAAAGGCTCCGGAGGAAAAGAGAACCGCGGTGAGAGGCAAACTGTATACGCCAATACATCTTTGTTGTTCAAATCTCTATCGCAGGACATATACATGTCCGCATCTTCTAAGGTTGAAATCCCGAGGTCGATGATGCATTGGCCTGAAGGTTCGCCATCGAGGTTGTACACGTAGACACGGCCCCATTTATTGATTTCATTGCACATCGTAAGGAGCCATTTCCCTCCATCCAGAAGATACTGTTCATCGTCCATCGGAATTTGGTCCTGGAGGTATACACGTTCTCGCGCTTTTTCGCCCGCCCGTAAACGTTTCTCCGATGAGACGCGCCGCATTACAACGAGCTCTAGTTCTGCAGCAGTGTACGAGCTAAGAGAGCATTCCAGAACGGGAGGAACGATGTTTTCGCGCGACAAACGCCAAAATAGCGACACCCAGACCTCACGAGCATTCGTTATTTCAAACAGCAATCTGCAGGTCTACATTCAAGACATCAGATCGATACGAGCCTCTCGATGAGTTCTATGGAGAATGGCACACCTGTCGGATTGAAAGAACTTCCTCCCAGCCAAGACGCTTCGCTATCTCCAGTAAAATCTCAGGAGGAAAAGAAAGGAGAGGGAAGCCTTGTTTACTTGGGACACACTGCATCCTAAGTTCTGCAAAAGTTGGTTCTCGCGAATTTCGCGGTCCAGAAAGATTGGCTTGATTCCGATTTTAAGGATGGCGTGGAACAAGATGGTGGTAGTCAGTACATGACAAGGCACGCAGTTTCGCCTTTCACTGACAAGCATATCCACGTGATCGACGCGTTTGATCAGAATTCGAACTTGAGCCTGAACTCTCCCATCATCAACCAACTCCTCATTCTCGTCTCATACCTCACGATGGCATACACAATCCGAATCCCACAAATAGACCTTCCTTCCATCCTTACCCAACAACAGCCTTCAATCGACCTCCGCGTGCACACCTACGAGAACTCGACTCGAAACTTCATCAAGGCCCTCACATCGTACAAGAACCGCGCTATCACGACTATTTCAGAGCGCAGGAAACACCAGGCAGGAGAGAAGAAGAAGATTTTAGAGAGGAGTCAGGCGGTGGAGACTGAGACGAACCAGTGTAAATTGAGGGAGATTGATTTGGTTGCGCGTGCGTTTGCTTTGGCTTTGGCCTTGATCTGCTTACATTCTGACGCGTCTTTTGGTACTGCGTATAGAGTTGGAAAGGGAGAAGGAGGAACGAAAGGATGCTGAGCTGTCAGTGGGGGCTTTTAAGCGCCAACTAGCGACTCTGCGCGACAAGATCGCCTCTGTAGACGCGGACATCGAGCAGTACCGCACCCAGGTGCAGAACCTCCGAAAGGGTACGCCAATTGTCATGTCCTCATGCGTACGCTGAATTCACCTCCTGCACTGCGACGCGTAGAAAAGAACAAGGAGCGCTCGATTCTGAGCTCACACGCATCTCATATCTCCCCTCAAACCCAGACTTGCGAAGAACGGTTGGCATGCAGGATCGAAGGCATAGAAAAGGACAGACTCCTCATTCGTTTCGCTCGCTTGGATCCATCAGATCCCGAGCGAGAGGCTAGCTTCGTCATTGACATCGCTACGCAAACTTTCAAAGGTACACACTCCCACCTCTTCAACGGTCTGGATTTGCATTGTATATTGACTATCGTGCTGCAGTAATAACGGCATCTCCACATCTTCCGTCGATGAATATCCTTGTCAGCAATCTCAATGAGAGTCGAGACATCTACACCTTCATTCGAGACGTTAGAGCGGCATATAAAGTGCTGGTAGGTGCCATACTTCTCCGAATCTCGATATACTCTTACAACGTCTTGCATAGCTGGACCCAAATGCAAGTTGAGTCCTATGACATTGCTATCGTGTTCTGTATTCCATCCAGTGTATTCCTAATACTGTAAACTATATTGCTTTTTCGCTATGTAACCTTCAATGGAAAGCTGTTTTTAAACTTTGGAACGCTGCTCCCCACCCGCTCATTTTCAGTGATCTTCTACTGGCGGCAGCATTAAAAAAACACATGTTGCTACTCAAAAAGTCGTCCGTTTGGATTGTCGATAAAGCATCAAAAAGTCCTTCAAACCGGGATCGAACCGGTGGCCTCGGGATTTCGGAAATAGCCGATTACAGTCCCACGCTCTTCCAACTGAGCTATCGAAGGAACATATCTGTGTGTGCAAAGAAGACTCTATAAGCCTCACGTATGATGCCCAGTGAAAAACGACTCTATTTTTGTCCAGGCCTGGCCACTTCTAGCCATTAGCACGGGTACTAATCAGTGTCAGAAATTGATGAAAATATCCCTGTCTGGGTCGTCATGTTGGAAAATCGCCAGAGATAGGTCAAAATAGGTCGAATTCTGACTGGAACAAGAATGAGGTGGATCTATTTGTGCCGAATTCACACGATATTATGTAATATATGTAGAAATAGATGGAAATATATTCATGGTTGCCGCTCCAGGATCCACTCACTAGCCATTTTCCCCGACTTCTTCGCCTCAACTGAAAGCTTTTCCCATTTCTAAGGTCATGGAATGATGTTAGATGAATGTTGGCATAGTATTTCAGAATGCTGACCTCCTTCCCCTCTGCAGAGAGAGCATCATAATAGGCGCTGAATGCATCAGTTGTTCCCTTGGGATTCAGTATAGCCCATTCAAGCGCACAGAGATTCCTTAGACAAATGTTAGAGAGTGTGTGAAGCATAACAAGCAACCTACCTTGGGGTGGTGCTTGTCTTGCTTGGGCGCATCTTCGTTGCTCCTGTGCGCGACCGTTTTGCAGGAGCAATTGGATCATTTTGTACAGGGTGATCGGCTGAGCAATTTCCTACAATCGGTTGACTATTGTTCATCTTGAATGTTTGCTGTTCTAGAAGTTGTGATATAGCAGGGACTACAGGCATAATCTGCTCTGTGAGTGGGCTGCCGTCAACAGTGAATGTATTGCTACACCCAGCAAGAGGATTATTGATCTGTGTCCCAAGTTAGATGCACGTCGCGACAAAATTTGGAGGACAACATACACGAAAGTTATAATGAGACTTATTTGGTTGGAGAAAAGAAACATCAGGAGAATGTTCAGGACCTGGGCCTTGTTGACTTGCCTAGTAAAAAGTGAAGAGGTTGATACATGCCGAAAAGACAGAAATAACATACAGCCATCAGGAAAGGTTTAGCAGGTGTGTTGGGTATTATATTGATGATTGGCGCTGGTTTCTATTCAATGGTGTTGGCCAGAAATGGTATAGAAGTGGGCCAACACTTACCTGACAAGTAACAGGTGTTACGAACAAGTATTTTCTTTTTCCTTTCCTCTTCCACGTCATCTTCCTACGTGTACTTGTATCTTGCTACGTATCTCTGCTACGTGTTCCGGAGTCCGTTCATCATCGTTTCTTTTCTTATCCCATTACGCATACGTGTCCACTACGTGTTTCTACGTGTACTTATATCTCGCTTGATTCTTACCAACCCCCATACGTATT